CAAAACCAAGCAACAATATACAACAAACAACAAACCACTGACAAAGAACAAAACACAACAAGAAAGAAAAGCTTGTAGTTAGTTCAAGGACTGTTTGTTGGCCTCAGGAGTGTTCATTTCTTTTTTAATGACAATATTTTTGCCATTCCTTCTGGTTCAGCTTTTGAAAGCAGTCCGTCTCCCAGGCCATGGGGCACCTGTATATTCAGTGCGTGCCATTTACCAGCGGACAGCAGCAGATGCCACCCAGCCACAGCGCACACTGATGGTTTCTGCAGCTTCGGATTCTACTGTTCGAGTCTGGTCTAAAAAGGGTTCAGAAGGTAGGTTTGGGGTCAGGTCATAAACCTGACAAACAGGACAGTGACTGTCAAATAAACAGCAACTAGAAGAGCATACATTTAGCTTCCAAACTTTCAACCAGCTCTATAGCTATTATGATTCTGGTTTTGTATCTCTATACATAAAATTAGTTTTATTTCTTGTTTTTGGGACCATAACACAGCAGAACATACACCATTTCCATATGTTCAGTTGAGTGACAATGATTACATTCTTTTTTTTTCTGACAATGATTACATTCTTTGAGCTTTGTGTAATGCCTTCATTAATGTTCTCTATTTTACTTCTCGTTCTAATACCCATTGCAATGGCTATACAGAAATTCACAGACAGAGTTCATGATTAAAGAGTTTATTAAGGAAGTTAACAAGTTTTAATGCCCTTGACAAATGCTTGAGGTAGTTGTTTACCAAAGTTCTGTCAAGTGTGCTAACAAATGCCCAACCACTCTTGCTATAAGCCTCAACCTGAAGACATTCAACTTAAGCTCCATTGATCAGCAAACCCAGCTCCGGCTCCCCTAATTTAGTTCGCAGAGGCACCGAAGGCACTCAGTAGTGGGTCAGCAAGCCCACCTTCCTGAACTAAGTGCCCAGAGGCACCCCACTCCATTGTAAGTAAGCCTTAGTCCAAAGGCACTCAACTCTACTTCCATGGGTCAGCAAGTCCATCTTCCCCAATTAAGTGTCCAGTGGCCTCCCTCCACAAATCAGCGTCCTGCACAAAAGCACTCACCTCTACTCGCTCTGTGCGTTGGGAAGTCCACCACTCTATTCCATGCTGTAGCTCCTGGTTCTGCTTCTGTGTTGTAACTGTCATCTGGACTCAGAAAGTTCACTGCACCTGGATCTTGGGTCCAGAGGACGTGCTTCAATCCAGCTCCTGTTGGTAATGAGATCCCACCTCCTGCTTCCCAGCGGGATCATTTTTAGACAGCAGGATGGCGCTCCAAGGTATCAGATTTCCCAATTACAGGTGAATCATGTCAGTGGTCTTCCCCCACCTTCTTATTAAACCTGTGGAAGGAAAGATCATTTGGTGGGACTAGAGACTTTGGCTGTTAGAGAGTCACACTAAATGATTCACTGACCCTGCACTTTGAAAAGGTTATGGTCTTCCATTTCCTAACTATTCCTTCCCCATTACCAAACACTCACTGCCCTAAGGTTCCTACCTGATTTTTGAGTTGCTCTTATTCTTTTGATCTGAGTAGATCGATCTATGCTCAAAATAGGCATACGCAAAACTATAATTTGATTTTAACATGGCTTCAGGAAGTACTTTTGGTTTAAGGTTTAAAATGTGGTAATCTTTTCTTAAATATTTACTGTTTCCTTTGTACATCTCAACATTTTTCTATACCAAATTGCCAGTACAAATTTCTTCTAAGTTTGTTCATGTGTCATTTTGATCATTGTAACCCCATTAAAAGTTGGTCATTTTCGTTCACTTGGTTAATAGGGCTTAAGTCTGCCATTGGACTTTTCATCCTGTCTGTTAACTGACTCATCTTGCTGCTGGCACCAGTCTGTAACATGCCACCTGGGCCCTAGGTGGGTGGGCTGAGTTCATTGTTCACACTGTTGTTTGTTACTTTGTAGTGGCCTACCTTCAGACCTTGGACTTTGGAAGTGGATTTGCTCTGGCTCTCTCCTTGTCTTTTTTGCCTGACACTGAAGGTGAGTGTTCTGCCAACTGGGAAGGGGGCAGCAGATTTGTATATTTAGAAGAACTGTGTTGGTCTCAGTGTCATTTGACTGTTTTCATGAAACAAGTTGAGGTAGCTAACTTTTGACTCAATACTTAAATGATCTGTGTATTGAAAATGGCTCAGGAAAGTTACTAGAATTTTGGTCACTGTTGAAAATAGAAGTGACTTCATGTATGGGCTCGGTGGGTATTGTTGTGTACGGGCTACATTGTGAAGGGATGAGGATCTAATCTGGCAGGAGGGAGGGTGTTGACTTCGTAGTGTGTGGTGATGTGGGGTAAATTAAAAGGGAAAGGATGTGAGCACATCCATCAGGATCACAGCCCCTTCCATCCTGCGTAGTGACAGTTTGCCTGAAACTACGTAAAATATCGAATTTATTTGGCCTGCCTGCCCCTTTTCTAGGCAAAATAAATAACTCACCACTACCCTGGCAGAGAAAACCTTTTACAGTAGCCCATAATCCAGAATAAACTGTAGGTATCTGCATTTGCCGCCCACCCTCCCTGGAATGTTCCAGTGTCTCCTAGTGGGGCAGTAACACCCAATTTGGCCAACATTGACTTAAAAATCTCCCAGCAGGAAAATTTACCCTTTGCTATGACACCTCTTTGTACCTGTTTCTTATCAAGCCCACAAGAATGATGGCCAGTATGAGTTGGTCAGTCTTTGGTGTCTCACTATTTACACAGAGGCCCAGGCTTGGTGGAGTGGTCACCTGGGAGTGGGCCACTGCACACCTGGTTCTGTAACGGGACAGTTTGTTTCCTTCTACCTGGGGCCATGGGACTCCTACTTTTCAGTTGACTTAGAGTATATGTAGAAAGCATGTACTTTTTTATTTTTTTCATATCTTATACCATCTGCTGTATTCCCTTCACCCACGTTTCTGTTATCCTTCCCCCCCCTTCGTGGGGGTGGTATAGATCCATCATTGCTATCGGTTTCTCCTTTCTCCTCCCCTCCCCCCACCCACATGGTATCACTACTCCCATTACTGTTTCTGAGGGGTTTATCTGACCTGGATTCCATGTGTCGAAAGCTCTTATCTGTACCAATGTACATGTTTCGGTCTAGCAGGATTTGTGGGGTATAACAGGGGTCATGATATAGTTGGGAGAGGAAGCATTAAAGAACCAGGGGAATGTTGTGTTTTGTCAGTGCTATACTGTACCCTGCTGAATCATCCCTTCCATGTGTCCCTTCTGTGAGGGAATGTCCAATTACAACAGATGGGCTCTGCGTCTCTACTCTGACCCTTCTCCTTCACATCAACATAATTGCTTGTTTTTGATCTTCTGATACCTGATCTCATCAACACCCTGTAATCACAAAGACTGGTGTGCTTCCATGTTGCTTCTCTGCTGTATGGCCGCTTGTTTAACTTCAAGCCTTAAAGACCCCAGACGCTATATCTTGTAATAGCCAGGCACCATCAGCTTTCTTCACCATATTTGCTTATGCACCCATTTTGTCTTCAGTGATTGTGTTGGGAAGGTGAGTATCACACAGTGCCAGGTTATTAGAACAAAGTGTTCTTGTGTTGAGGGAAGATTTAAGTAGAGTCCCAAAGTCCATCTGCTACCTTAATTACTTAGCATATAACTATATTTACATAGGTTCATGCCTATATTTATACCTCTATATTTAGCTTATGCCTCCTAGTTCTTTCCTTTATTTCCTTTTACTTTCTTCCTGTCCCACTATCATGTTCGACCTTCATTCACCGCTCAGTAATTCCTCTTGGCTACATTACAGTTGATCAGACACCACTGGGCATTCTACACCTTCCTCACTGCTGGTTTTAGATCCCTTGTTGCCCTATCCCTGAGTTTGTTGGCTCCCGCTCCCTTTACCCTGCCTTCTCTACCAGACTCTCGCTGGAACTGTCGATCCCATTGCTTTCCCCTCAGGCTTGTGTATCCTAGCTTATATACGTACATAGATACATCTACTAAAACAGCGGTTCTCAACCTGTGGGTCGAGACCCCTTTTGGGGTCGAATGACCCTTTCACAGGGGTCACCCGATTCATAACAGTAGCGAAACTACAGTTATGAAGTAGCAATGAAAATAATTTTATGGTTGGGGGGCCACCACAAAATGAGGAACTGTATTAAAGGGTCGCAGCATTAGGAAGGTTGAGAACCGCTGTTTAAAAAGTATATAGAAATACATAAAATTTAAAAGCTTATAAATAGTTCTTGGTCAAAAAAAAAAAAGAAAAAAAATAGTTCTTGGTCTGTCTGTTGACTTTTATGAATGTCTTCCAGCCAAGTCTGATGGGGTTCCAAGTACTACCCCCCAAGTCAGAAGTCTGTTTTTGGTATTCCTCGGATAGTTGATGACTTTGCTCTCCTTGCTGCTCTGTTCTCTCCTCCCCTCCCCCCCTCCTTAGTTTGCTCCCATGTCTACAGGACAGACCGGCCACTGTCTCCAGCCTTTATCTTCAGTGCTGACCTCTGTTGTACATTCTTCTAGGGAGGGGGTCAACATAGCTTGAGTTGGGGCTGGCCTGGGTGGAAAGGATATACTTGGTGGCAGTTCTTTTACTTAGGAAACAAATCCCCCTTTTGTCTGTGCTCCAGAATCCTTTAGGTTCTCTGTGCTGTCTGAGTTACTGTTCTAATTTTCTTTTAACAGTTTTATTGGCACTTCATCCACATGTCATACAATTGTGAATTCATATCAAGGGTGAATTGCTTTTCTATCACAGCAGTGAAAACCAGTTTTGCAGTTGTACCTTTTTGGGCTTTCTAATCATATATTTCATGATAGACTTTTAATTTTCTTTTCTAATTGTCCATGACTATGACTTTGTTTCTTTATTGAATTCTTGGACAAAATATAAGGTCTTCAAATTAGCAAACGTCTCATGATACTCTTCAGTCTTTGGGCAGCAGCCTTGATGCTGGGCTCATAGTAGCTGTTTTGCTTCATTATTCATTTGAACTAACACCTTTTCCTCTAGGTCTTCTGATTTCTGCAGTGAAAGTGCTCTTTCTGTTACAAACAGCGAAGACTGGGAAAGGACTTGCAGTCATTCCCATTTCTTTGCCAACTGCTTAATGTAACAGTTTATAGGGTGTTTTATGCTTATAGGCATTTATTTGGTGTGATGAATTTATCTGTTCAATGATATGGGAAGTAGATGTCAGAATTCTTGGCTTAACCTCGGATTTCAGCCTCGGCGACAGGTATTATAATGGAATACTTACAGGGAACCCCCTTTTCTCCCCTAGTACCCATATTGGCCTGTGGTGGTGACGACTGCAAGATTCATTTGTTTGTTCAACAGAATGATGAGGTAATTTCAACTGTGCGTCATAAGACTAAAAGTACGTGCTTGTTAGTTACATACCATAACGCAGACTGTTTCTTGATGATAAAATAGTGGGACTTTTCTAATCTAGTAAAGATATTTAAAAACACCTTTCATGGCAGGCCTCTGAGAGGTGGTTTCCTACTCCTTGTTTGAGCACCATGTATCTACCACTAAGCCCAGAATATTTGGGGGGCAAAAAGTTATGTATGGGAAGGAGAATGCATAGCTCCTGATCGTTCCCAGTTATTTTTTTCTTTAATGAAATACACCATGCTGAAGGATACACAATGGTGCACTGGTTAGAGCCCTTGACTGCTTACAGACGCGCAGTGATCGAGCTTACTAGCTGTTCTCACTCCGTGGAAGAAAGCTATGGAGCAGGCCTGCCAGGTCCTGCAGGGTTGGTCAAGGCAGAATCAACTCAGTGGCAATGACATTTGTTTCTTTTTGCTTATTTGGTTTTAAAAATAAAACCCAGCAAAATGCCCACTCTAAGGGTATTTTTTTCCTGTGGAAGGAAAATGAGGCTTTCTAGGTTTTTGTTTTGTTTTGTGTTTCAAGTTAAAGAATTTTTTTTTACCGTATTTATTTTTAATCATTTTATTGGGGTTCTTATAACAATGTATATAGCCATTGTATCAAGCACATTTGTACATAGGTTGCCATCATCCTTTTCAAAACATGTTCTTTCTACTTGAGCCCTTGGTCTCAGCTCCTTTTTCTCCTCCCTCCTGACACTCTGTTCCCCCTCAGGAGACACAGTCTTGGGAGCGCCCTGGGACGGTTCTGTCCTATATGGTGGGTATGGTCGGAAGGGATTGATGGCAATGGGTTTGGAGATTCTGGTTCATTAAAAAAATCAATGCAATAGATTTGGCCGAGACAAGTTACTGATATAAGTGAAGTTGTGAAAGACTCATGAAAATGTTAAATTCTTATATCTAACCTGGGCTTTTTTGTCATCTTACTAGTTTCAGAAAGTGCTGCTTCTCCATGGACATGAGGACTGGATAAGAGGCGTGGAATGGGCACTCTTTGGTCAGTATGAAATTTTATAAGGCCCACAGGACAAGTGTGTGGAACTTCCAAGAAAGCAACCTCTTACCTTTCCATTATTAATTGGACTGAAAGAGATGCAACGGATTTCTGTTTATAAGATAACACTAAACAAAAAGTTGACACATGCTGGTTATGAAGTGGGCTCTTAAACATAAAGCCAGCAGTTCGAAACCATCACCCAATGCTTGGAGGAAAGATGAGGGCTTCTGCTCCATGAGATAGTCAGCCTCAGAACCTTTTAGAGGCACCTCCTCTGTTTTACAGCGTCAGGAGTTGGTATCGACTCGGTGACATTGAGTTTTTTAGTTTAGCTGACTAGTCCGCATGTTGAAGCTCTTCAAGTTCTTTATCAGACTTTGTAGACTGTATAGAAGAGTACCGCGTATTATAAACATTTATTGTTTTGTGTGTATAGTTGGTAATGTTATTAAAAATTAACATAGATCACATGTATGGAGGGTAAGGAAATGACACCTAATTTGAGGGTAACAAGTTATCAAAATGTGCAAATTGTATAAGAAAAAGCCTTCTACATAAATTTAAGAATATAGTGTTTTCTAATAACGTTTGTTTTTATGTTTAGGTAGCGATCTTTTCCTAGCCAGCTGTTCACAAGATTGCCTGATAAGAATATGGAAACTGTATAGAAAGTCAGCCTCTGTAGAAACTCAGGATGACGATGATGCTGACATAAGGCTAAAGGAAAACACTTTTGCAGTCGAGACTGAAAGTGAGTCACAGTGAAAATAATTTGATGCAGCAATTCCCAGGCCTCTGAGCTGGTTCATGTAGTCTGTCCTACCAAACACAGATGTGAGAGTTGGTGTTTCAGAAGTGTCAGATCCCAGCCCCAGACTCTTCTT